ATAACTTCCTATTTTTACTTGTAGAACACGCTTTCTGTTATCGTCACTTGCAAAAGTAAATTACAGTGTTTTGAAACGTTTAATTTCCATCGTACCTAGACAGTAGTTATTTTCACAGAGAGACGCGGTATGACGTATATTTTTGCGAAACGTATTACTTGGAGATAGAATTCGACGAAACGATAATATTTTTTGTTTGCATTTCCGTGAATACGCGCGAAATATACACGACGGTGTAACGTTGTATGTATTACATAGATCCGGCGTCAGCACTAGAGAATAAAAGGTAAGGAGCGAATAGGGGATGCTGAAATTCGGTAGCCGGAGACACTTGTCAACGACAGGCAGGAGGTCGGTTTCAGGGGTGGATCTAGACGACGACTCTGTAAATATTGTAACAAGTGTGCCACCCTTGCCGCGCGTGGCATTGATCGTGTGCTTTGGCTAATCGATTGGAAGATAGAACATTTTCTAATTGTCCCACCGAAAACTATATTCGCTGCTGTGGCCAAGAAAAACGAAAACAGAGATTCGTTGATTCGAGACAGAGAAACAAAGATAGAAATAGAGATACGAAGACAAAAAAACATTACGAAAATATAAATAGAAAAGAAATATAGAAACGAAAATGAGGAAGCAATAAGAAAAATATATAAAAGAAAATATAAATGAAAGATATCTCGATAATTCATGATATTTTTATGAAGAAGAAAAATTCTAATTTTCATTAGTAAAGTTCGAGTTCCGTTTCTTCTAAATTATATATCGGTACATGTTTGTTAAAATGGGACTGTGAAGTTAGTAACTGTAAAATATGAATGGTAATGTGTAGGTCGTTTACAAAGCTGTTAAAGATCGTGGGTTATTATTTATTTTTGCACACAATTGCAAACGTAACTCACACCTAAGTGGCCATTCTTCGGCTTGGTGTCCCTTCCCCCCGTTTCCAGGATACTCCGCTGTCGTTTTCACACTTTCGCCATTTCGTTGCGCAAACATCGTCCATTGTGGATGCAGTGGATGACACTTCTGCCAGACACATTTGCCACACTGGCATAAAAGGACTTTGTCCGAGAGGGTTCTTGGCATCGTACCACAAATTCAGGCGTACGAAATAAACGTTATTGTCGATATTTTAAATCGTGCTGGAACAAACCTGAAATTTACTCAACGCATTGCAACGTTAACATCTATAATAATAGATAAAAATAAGATGCAATCTTGCAAAAAAACATTAATTCATTTGTATCTTTTGACATAGTTTAAAAAGCTATATTACTTTTTTTTAAACTGCTGAATTTATTGTAATTTACAACCGCAGTTTACAATCTATAATATACAAACGTTCCCCTAACGATACTGCAATACTTTCCACACATTTCGTGCCAAAAGTAGCGGTAAACACAGTTCAGAACCACATTGAAAAAATAAAACAGAAAAATGGTCGGATAAAAAAATAAAAGCTGACCCCCCTAGTGGATGCAACCACACGTTCACGCTTTGCAGCTAGAACTCACTGAATGTAACTCCAAACAAAGTTGTTGTGCCTGAATCGAAACAAATAAAAAACAACGCATTAAATCTATAATAAAAAAAGGAAAAAATAAAATGGTGACAGATGCACGATAGCCATATGGAAAACAACTCGTTCTCGTTCGAGAACTTCTCTGTATTTGTTTAAGTTTGCGATCACCTTTTATACGGATTACCCTAAAACGGCCAGATCCATAATTGCGTCGCGTCGTCCCCTTCGAAAATTTATTCGACCCAGCCGGTCGATCGTCGCGTTTATCGATGAAATTGCGTCGTCGTACATTTCTCCATGAATATGTAAATTAATTTGCCCGATTACCCTCTTGGAGGTTCTGCACTTATGCGAGCGCTCGCGCTGCACCGCGAAATCGCGTAAGCCGCTGCAACGGGCGCACCAGCCCTAAAGATATGCACCCTTGCGCTCTTGCTATGAAATAATCATATGGTTAGCTAATGGCAGCGCTGGGGTAGAGATTGCTCCTGCTGCTGCGGCCTCCATAAGGCGGTCAGGGAGAATAATAAATAAATTCAATGTATTTGCTCGACCCCCTCCCTCGCAACCCCCCACAAACATTCAATGATAGATCGGAATCTCGGGAGGGGGGGAGCGATGATGCATTGGGCCAGGCCCCCAATATTCCACCCAGACGTGCGTGAAGATCGCTAGATCGGATCTTTCTGCGTTTCTTCCGAATTGCTGCGTGACTGTCGCGTGCTCGTGCACGCAATTAGGTTCCGCTGACGGTGGATTCTATTTGCAAGATATTAACGCGCGTTGCAATAGTAATCGTCAGGAATAACAAAACATAACCGTAAATCTCACTTGTGTCGATAAAGTAGAGCAAGCAATCGATCGCTACCTGCTGGATCGCTGGTTGATTATAGATCAGTCTGTAATGTAATGTAGCACGCTTCTTACAGCTAACTGCTAGCTCAACAGTAATATATTATTTAATATTAGATAGTATAATTCCAGTCGAGCCTCCGATAGTAAAAGAATAAATCCCAATGGTCGTAAGATCGAGGGACTCATTTTGATCCATAATACGTTGATGTTTATATAAAAATTTTAAAATAGGAGAAATTGTATATTATGTACGGTTTGTGTTTTAAAATTGACAAATATTAAGTGATTAAAACACGATTTAAATATTAACTAACCTAACGTGGAGATCAAGGGACTTATTTGTCCATTCTGTGGATTGCGTGCGATATCCTTGGCACAACGAATCGTAGGCGGATCAGCTCGCCCGAGCAGAATTATTACATCCAATATGGACACCGCGCGGGATCCCCCTTTCGGCTATCATTCATGTTATTATAGGTAGAGAAGTGTAGCCCCGGAGCAATTCTAATCCAAGCGCGCATCCCGTTGCATTTTATTAGCGTATTTGCTCGATCCCTCGGAATCCTAACGAAAGTATCTGTATTATCGCTCGTCCGTGTTCGCCCATTGTAGCCGTTGCTTCCATCATCCAAGTGACAGAACTTAAGAGTCTTTGCTTTTGTACGTATCGATGAATTATGCAACGACGAGGCGAATCAGTATTCCGTACAGCTCCGTGTTTTCGTTAAGCTCGAGCATTACGACTATTACGCTCGAAGATTGCACGGAGACCGTCGCGCCGCGAACAAATAAAGTTTATCGATTGAGATAACGTCCCATACAATTAATCACACCTTTCGAATCTTCGAAAAATTATTTCCACTTTCAACCGAACAAATTCCATTCGTGTCTTCGTCAAATCACTGCCATCTTAACAATTTTTCTTAAAAACCAGCTAGCAATACTTATTCCAGCTAGCTTTTATTCATCTTAGTTTTTTGCAAGTTAAGGTATTGGGAATTAGAAATTATATTACAAATATCTTGGCATTCAATCTAAATTGTCACGTAATTATAGTAGGTAACACCATAGGGGTGTGTTGAATTTGGATATTGGGCCCAATAGAGTAATATTGGTGTTCATTCAAACTGGATATTTGACCCACTAGGGTAAAGTCGACGTTCAAGCAGATTAGACATTGGAGTCATAATAAAATGGATGTTCAAGTAGACTAGACATTGGAGACACTACAATAAAATGGATGTCCAAGCAGACTGGACATTGGACCCACTAGAATAAAATTGATATTCACCTACACTGAACATTGGACCTGCTATAATAAAATAGACATCCAAGCAAACTAGGCGATTTGAGACACTGTAATAAAATGGATGTCCAAGCAGAATGGACATTGGGCCCGCTATAATAAAATGGCCGTCTCAGCAGACTGTCAGCTCCCATCCGACAATGAGTTTGCGAGGCAACAGCATCGTTGGAAAGTCTCCTCCTTGTTAGCCGTCTCATCGAGCATCGTTTTAACCAGACGCACCTTCAATCGCTCGTAATTAATAGCTTGTCCCGGCGACCCGTTCAGTGACGTATCAATCGTAGGGTGGGGGTCGCGTCGGTGGGGGGATGTTCTATTATCGTGTCCGGTAAGGGTTACTCGAAAAAGCCGCGGCAGCTAACCCCTGGCGTACGACAGTCCGCGCTAGTGTGCGCGTCGAGTTCAGTGGCGTTGGATTAGCTTCCAGCTAGTTATGATTAGAGGAGACAGTTGGCCCTCCACCGAACTACTCCATATTCCAATACTCATCGGCGGCGGGCCCAGGCATGTCAGTGTTTCGGCGGGAAGGGGCGGCGATAATACGCACTGACAGGCGCGCACCCTCGACAGCCCGTTTTCGGGGGGGCACGCGAGTGAAAAGGAAGGGTGGGAAGGGTGCTGGGGGAGAGAAGAAAAACATATACAACAACCCGATAGAATGAGCATCGCATGCGCCGACGCTTGTTTCCTCTTCTTCTTTGGCCTGTGCGCGCAGAATTACCCACTGATGTTATAATCCTCTCGTGTTACGCCATCGCACATGCTGTCCTGTAAGCAATACATTGTTTTTTTTCTCGTCTCTCTCTCTCTCTCTCTCTCTCTCTCTCTCTGTTAGACCCGTTGCGTACCCCTGCCGCTTTATGACGCCCAGATCTATCGGTACCCCATATGCACACTTCGCTGTCGCGGACGAGACGCGTATCTGTCCCGAATAGATCGCTGCTCCGAGTGGCGAACATAAGTCAAATCTTTGTTCGTTCGAGGGACACGCGGGCCAGACGATCGACGGAATTCGAGCAGGCTGATAAGTGCCGGCCAGAGGCGACAGTTGGGCTACGAGCATTGTTTTAAGAACGATTGTCGGAGGCTCGATGCAGAGGGGCTTAACGCGTTTCACGTTTTGGGGATGTTGAAACCTTTACATTCAGGACAATTGTATCGTTATTTAAGCCTGGGACACCAAGGTCTTTTCATATTGCTGTAACTTCTCTGATCCTTTGACCTCTAATGGAACAATGTCCCACAAGAAGAGTACAAAAATGACGAATGTTACTCTTTGTTTGAATCTTAATTTCGAATTTTGTTATGTTACAGATACATGGTCGCGGGAAGATTGGTGGATCGCGTGTTTCGTCACTGTCGCGCTCTGATCGAGACCGACTTCTTCGTAGATCAGGATCACGAATCGCCGCTTCTGATATCCTCCTACGATCTTCTTTTCCGCGTCTGTTCCCACCTGAAGAAGTCAACGGACCAGGAAACGGGCACCGTGCACGAGAACAATAATAATAACAATAGCGTAGAACAGACGAGCGTCGAGTCCCATCTTTTATCGAATCTGTCCTCGACGGAAGCTGCCGGTGCAATCGGTGCACTTTACGCTGCAGTCACGCTCACGCCGCAGAATCAGAAGGGCTCGTCGCCGACTCCAAATCAAACTACGATGTCCCAATCCACGAGGATCCTGGTCGTTCGATGTCTTAGGCTACTTAAATCGATCGCGGGATTGAATCTTCAAAGATTACAGGTTAGTACAAGAGTAACATTCAAAACAGTATAGCTTATTATCGACGTTACATGTGTGTTTTGTTTAGTTACTAACTTTATGTGCTTCAAATAAAGCATACTCGTATAGGAAGAACGAGACAAAAAGAGAACAAATTTGGAAAGGAAAAAGTGGTTAGATCTAGGTTAGGCTAGTATAATAAAATAGACGTCCAAGCAGACTAGGCTATTGAAGACACTATAATAAAATGAATGTTCAAGTAGACTGGACATTGGGCCCGCTATAGTAAAATGGATGTCCAAGCAAACTAAACATTGGAGTCATTGTAATAAAATCGACATCCAAACAGATTAGGCATTGGAGTGGTCACTATAATGAAATCGACGTTCAAGTAGACTGGACATTGAACCCAGAGAACCTAACCCTTTTTGGCAGAGAAATTTATGTATTTCATTCGATTCAAATTTCATTTTGTACGCGTTTATCTTTCGAGTAATTCCCGTATAGGAAGAACAAGACGAAAGGAGAAAAGATTTAGAAAGGGAAAAGTGGTTCGTGCGATTATTTATAATAATTTCGAGGAGTTGGAATCTTTTGAATTTTTAGCACTGTGCGACGGTCACTTAGCGGCTGTTCCTTGATGGAACCACCGTCAGTGGTCCTCCTCATTAGGTCGAGCTCCGTGGAAAGTGCAATGGAGATATCGTGTGCCCTGGGGGTTTGCCTGTCAAGATTGAAAGCCCTCCCGTGAAGTCTGCGATGATCAGACCACGAATTGAATCGAAACTTCGCGCCCCCCCAACCATAAAAACTATAAGGGCCGTACTGTGTCCTGCAGGGAAGCCCGCTGGGTCCCCTGGGACGCTGCCCCGATTATCCTTGCGATCCTGGCAGCCGGCGTTTGCCCAAAAACCAACGTTTATTATCTATTCTCTTTGACTTACTGGCCACGCGGTCTAGTTAAAACGAAAATGCCCTTCGATCTCCGCAGGAATCCCTCTCCTGTCGCACTTGAGCCTGCCAGATTCGAGGACCCTGAGGCTGGGTCGATCGTAACCCACGCTAGGATGCAACCGCGTATTTTTATTTTGTTTTCGGGTTATTTGTAGTCATTTGCCAGATTAACACGATCATTGTATCTTCGTATTAGTGATGGTGAATTATCAAAACTGTCTAATTATAGTAAATGAGATACTCGATACTCGATCAGTGTCGCTTTATTTTTATATTCGAAAATTGTATCGTTATTTGTACGCGTTAAGCAGCGAACGATAATTGTCTGATTTCAGAATCTCTTGGGGGTAGAAGGCACCAGCTTGCAATGGCGACTGATAGCTAGTCATGTGATAACACGATTATCACGGGATCCAATATCGCACAAACCGGAAATTGGATCTGCGCAGAACACTAGTGGTACTTACATTCTGTCGGAGCTGTTCCAGGTTCTGGGGTATTTTGCAGTCAACAACCCAGAAAATCAGGTAAGTACTATCAAAATTGTCTAATTTTAAATACGTAGGACACTTCGTAATTCACAGTACCGAATTCAGCGATGGATGACGTAAAAACTATGAAAAAAATCATATAAACGTTTGCTCTGAAGCAGCGGTAGGTCTAGAAGAGCCCAAAAATAAGGGACGAATATCATTGGCATACTCAAATACAGTAAAATTTATTTGACATACTCGGGACTGGGATAATGTTCTACTGTACAATTCTTTCTTATAAATCCGTTGTTTGAACACGGAATATAAGTTTCCAAACAGTCGACGCGTTAGCGACCGACCGTGTGAATCGTTTCTGCAGTGAAATTTCGATTTTATCTATCGACACGATTTTAAATAGCGCCAGACGTCCGTCAGAGGAGTCCTCGGTGCAAACGGAAAAGTTCCGAAAATCAGTTCCTGGTCTCGTCCTTCCCTTCTCTCGTAACAGGCATAAATCCTGTAACAAGTCCGCCCTACGCTCCCCCCGCGATTCACAGCTCCGAATCGGCCGGCAGTTAAAGGTTAAAAGCGTTTTTCCAGCAGTTTCCACGAGCTTGTATCGGATGCACTTTCGGGACAAGCGGGCCTCCTTTAAAAAAGGCGTTGAAAGACGAATGTGTTACGTCGCCGGTGCACTCAGCGCGCTACACATCCCGATGCACGCGCCGGATTGATGCACCCTCCTCTTGCAGGGCGTCGTGTGCGTACGCGCCACTGACGTATGGAATGGAACCGAGTAAATATATCTTAACTGCATTTCGGCCGTATATTGATGGGAGGTCCGCTGAGTGTGTTGTGTCTAACAGCTTCTTCCTTCTTCGCAGCGTGTTGCGCGGCGCATTTCACGCGAATGTACCGGGTGTGATCGACCGACCCGTTCCACGGATTGATAGATGGTTTGTTTGAAGTCTGGCCAGGTCTTAAACTGGCTCGCCCAGGTCCAGGATGCTTATTCGCGATCCAATGTTTTCGATCAGGACTTTCAGCGACGAATCTTCATCTTGGATCCCCGGATGGATCTTCTTTGCAATCACCGTGTTTGATTCTGACAAACATATCATTGTTTCTACTCGTTGCTCCAAAGTCTATCTTATGTCAGCTTACATAGAGCAATTAATGCATGATTAGTTTGGAAATCTAGGCATCTCTTAAACTGGCTCATCTGGTCCAGGATGGTTCTTTATAAATGAATCCACTATTTTTTATCAGGACTTTGGTTGGTGGAGCTAAAAAGTGTATATAGATTGCTATTGATCTTCATCTTGGATATCTTTATGGATGTTCTTTATAGTTAGCTGATAACTTCATCTGATAAACATATTGCAGATCATTGTTTCTACTTGTTACTCCAGAGTCTACCTTATGTTAGCTTACACAGAGCAATTAATGTATGATTAGTTTGGAATCTAGATAGTTCTCAATTGGTTCACCAGGTTCAGGGTGATTCTTCACGAACGAATCCACTATTTTTAATCAGGACTTTGGTTGATGAGGAATGATTCTTCTTTGTAATGATAGTGTTTGCTTAATCTATCATTTTGTCATCTTATAAACGTATGACACTCGTTACTCCAAAGTCTGCATTGTGCTAGTCAACATTGAGTGATCGATAGATTGTTTAAACTCTGGACAGGCTCACCAGGTCCAGAATCAGGACTTTGGGTAACGAATCTCGATCTTACATAGATGGATAGATCTTATTCGCAATGACCATGATTGTATAATAACTTCTTTCTAAAAAAGGTAAACAGATTGCGCACAAGTGTTTTTGTTATTTCAAAGTCTACATCGTGCCTAGTAGTTTTACCTCGAGTGATTGACGGATGATTTGTTTAAAGTCTTGAAAGGATTCTTGGAGAAGAGTGATTTACTGTACACTGTGGTTTTTACCTTTGTACATGGATCAAAAATTTCACGAAATAGAGAGAACAGAAAGGAGTGGAGACTTGCTGGAGTTAATAGTTTTATAAACTCTAAATGATTATATATATGACGATTGGTCATATTGTTTGAAATGGATTCTTTCATGTGCTAGTTTCGTTTCTTCGTCGCTGCTTCGAAGAGAATAATCGATAGTGCTCAAGAACAGATTAAACGTCGAATGAAACGGTACACGTGACCAATGTTTACTCTTGAGAAAAATCTCATCTATATGCAAAGTTCAAAACCAATGACAGGGGTTCAGCGAATACAAATAAAGAATAACAATTTTTGTTTTAATAAACCGTAAAGGTTTGACGAAATTTATACATTTTTGTATTAAAAATACTATGTTAATTCAAAGAGCAGCATCACTACGGTCACACGGAGTAGCGTTGTACTTCGCTATCGTTTGAGTAATTATAGGCGAACAAAACTGCAGCAAATAGTCTTGAAAGTTACATAGGGGTGTTTGTCGTATGTCGTAAGTTTGGCAATGAAGAGACTGGAGTCACTAAAATAGGCAGAAATAAATTGCACTGGCTGCAAGAATATTCGTGGGGAATTTGGCGTGAAAACGATTAGCATGGTCTCGAGTAACTGCGAGAAACAATCTGTGAATTTAACCACGATTTGAAACATTTATACATATACAATAATATATAATATTTTGTATGGGTTATTATTGAAGCGTCAGATTAACCATAAAGTAGTTCTAACATGTATAACTAATAATTTGTTCATCCACGAATTTCCATACGTTTATAAATGTTGTTACGAGCGTGGACGAGCAATTTTAATACATTCGGTTCGTTAAAAAATAGGAAATGTAATTACTATTTGCAGTGAAAATAAAATGATCTATTTCTCATTTATTTATCGGTTGGATAACATTTTTGGGTTTGTCTAATTCTGTTGTAGAATAAAGGTTTTCTATTTGTGTTCACCTTGATAGTAACTGGATAGGCTTATAGTGAAAATGTCCGACGGCCTGGCGCCTTCCAGAACGTCGCGACGTCTTTTCTTTCTGCGCGTCTATCGAGTCCCATTTTTCGAGATATCGAGCCCCCAGAAATTCCTGAGGTATTCAATCTATGCTAGAGAATAGAGAAGGAACGGTCAGTTTAGATTAGACACGGTACAATACGACCCTCGAACGCGTTCGTGTTGGCCTTCGACGCCGCAGCTCGTGCCTACTAGCCTAATTGTACTGATTATGGGCCTTTTTTTCATTTCTGAGCTCCACTATACAGATAAGAGATAAAAATATGTCGTTCGAAGATGGAAATTCTATTTGGAATTTACATTCCTGGCGAGGACAATTTTCAGAAGGCTAATTGGTCGTTCGGTGGAGCCAAGTGATGGTATTTTGTTACATAAAATTTTTTTTGTGCAATGATTAGCGTTTGAGAGACTAGCTCATGGGGTTGGATAATTTTACATATCGATGACGATACATATTCACAATTTTTCATTTCATGTTAGAACTCTCCTTTTTAAATTTCGTGTTATTTCTGTGTAGAACGTCTACTACTTTTCATCTGCGTCAAGACTTTAAGAATACCCTGTGCATTAAAACAAATTTTTCAGCAGAGTATTCTGTATACGTTAGTTAAGTGGTTAATCAACTCAGAGACGTTTTAAATACGATAAAAATACATAAGATTCACGATCGTCGTAAATCTAGTGGGTGGTTTTATGCGGCGTAAAAACGGTCTTAAAATAACAGAGAAAATGATACTCTATGGAAGAAGATTCACTATAAAGTACCATATAATTTATTTATGCAATATGCATCTCTCTTAACACAATTAATTAAACTATTCATATGAACATATTTTTATATGATTTATTTTCAAACTTGTTTTTATTATTTATTTCTCTTTATAAATTATCGATAGACTGATATCTCAATGTAAGATTATTTTAGTACAAGTGTATAACCTACTAAAATAAACAAACGAGCAATATTTATTGAAATGGGATATTAAATTTCGAGTATATAAAATTATCAAATAATAAAATGTTCGTTGGCTCGATGTGACAAACCGTAAAAGAAAACTAAAGGAGAATGATAGAGAATAAAAATGCATAATGTGGGTACTTCCTGCAAGAGACGTTGCTACAGGTGTATAGGCCTGCTCGAGGACACTTGTTGAGTCGCAGATGTCCTAGGACGCTTCCTTGTCCTTCAGAATGGCTAGTTTCCGACACCTGTGTCATAGGTGCACCGTTTCCCACGATATTTAACGAAACTAATGACCGTACGTACGCGTAGGCACTTGTAATTAACCGTTTCTGTTCTTAGACGGCCATGAACGTACCTTTCAGTTACTTCCATGTGGGTGATTTGCAATGGAAAGGAAATCTTGCGACGGTCGTTGAGAATTTCGTTTCAGGGAGTCTCTGTAAAAGTGTAATACGTCCTAGCTCGTTTATCTTAATGTTTATTGAAAGAAAACTTACCTTTTTGTAGGTGAAAAGCAATGATATCAGGGGATACCAAAGTTAAAAAGCTAGTTAAATCGAGACCAAATTTTGTTTTTTGTACAAGGTTGTCGTTAGTATCTATATTAACTCGTTGCAATCAGGATTCACGGAATGAATTTTTGTTTCAGTTGGTACTTCAATCGGCGGGGGCTGGCCCAAGTGTACTTCAGCAACTGTGTACTTTACCATTTCCGTTTTACGGTGCTCCAGGATTAACATCGTACATTTTCCCGACGCTTTTGGCGGCCACGCATCGAAATCCAGAGGCGACGGCGATTCTGTCTTGCGAAATGTCTTACCAGGTAAGTGAATCGTTTTACAAGTAGTTCCTATCTTCGTATAATCTGATGGAACAGATCATTTTCTTTAAAAAAAAAGCTACTGAAAGTAGAAATATATAGATAGAAATAATTAAATGTTTATATATTTTATCAATCAGAAGGATCATCCACCTTGTGTCTTTATTATTCACTGAGAAAATCTGAATTTTAAAATAGCTCAACTTCGCATCAATTTACTGTTCAATTGAAACATTATTTATTTGAATATATAAATAATGAAGAAATAGAAAAACTTGTGCAAAAAGGGTTAAAAGGACACCAACTAATTCTGATGCACATCTTATTTTGAATTCTTGAAACATGATCCTTATTTTAACTAGAGAATCTGTGAAGTCACTGGTGAATGTATACAATGACTATCCCATTTCAGTGAAAGTATACGTAAATATTAATGGTCACTCGACTTCAATAAAATTTATAGACAAATAATAATAACGTATAAATTTCATAAAAACTCCATGCAGTTTTGCAAATGTTTCCAGCAATCTGTCTAATCCTCTCTTGTTACCAGTCCCTTGTCACAGTTGCACTGGACCAATAACATTTATTCTCAGTCACGTTGCACGCATTTTTTTCTGATTTTTTTCTTTCAAATTCATTCCAAGTATAATCCTGGACCATCGGTTTTGAACTGTTCGTAGAATCCTTTCCTGTTTTCAATTCCTGACCAAACATACAGAGGTCCGATAATATTTATTCGCAGTCACGTAGCTTTGTGTACCCCGATTCATCTTCGCCAGGAACGCAAGTACAGAAATGTTCGTTAAACGATCGAACAATCGATGGCATGCAACTCTTATAAAATTTCTAAACATTTTATACCGACTCAGAGCCGCGTGATTTGATCAGTTTCTTTAGTTAAAAATGTTAAAACTGTAGAGATCTGATACGTCTGTCAAAGTCTGCCTTCCTTCGTCCTATTCGAATAATCGCCATTGAAAATTCGATTGGCCAATCTATTGCGTTTAATACGAAAACAATGTTCTGTTTGCCAGTTGCTGGAGGAGTACAGGGATTCGGACGACGGTAAGCTGAATCCTTTGGTTCGTTTACTGAAGGACGCGACGAGTCCTTAAGCGTACCAGCCGAAGTTCGGTTAATCCGCTTGAGTTTTGTCGAATATATTCGTGACGCGCCACGAGCTACGTGGACGTCGTTAAAACGCTGGACCATTACTTGTATTCAGTTCGAAGAGTCGAGGAGCGAACAGGGGAAAATTGTTATTAGGTACGTCCATCGTTAGTTGAAAAGTTATTACTATTCCGCGTGCCTCGAGGCTGGTACTCGACGACAATTGTATCGAATACACCCCTAAACCTGGCGGACAGTTTCGAGACGTTGAAACCGAATTGGCGACACTGCAACTAAATTTTTTAACCGCGTTAATAATCTCTACCGATGACAATCAATCGAAGGGTTTTTGCAGAAAGCGATAAACGCAGGGGTAAAAACTGATCGAACGCATCCTGTTGGAGCTGGAGGTGCTGCTAACGATTTTATTAACGATCAGACGTTCGTTGGTTATTGCATATATAGACGCCCTATGTACGAAACTTTGAAAATTTGAAAATTTGGAACTTTCGACCTATTGCTTGTGGTCATCCTCATATAGAATGGTTAAAAAAAAGAAAACAATGACCAACGAATACTCTGAACGTTTATTTGCACTCTGTGAAAATTGAATACTTTCTGCTAAACCAGAATGAGTGCCACTTATTTTTAAATTTGATAAAAAAAGAATTACATAAAATATTGTCTCGATAATTCTATGGGTGTACGTTTACTCTTAGGGAATCCAATTTGTTTAATAATAATAATATAAATCGTAATCTTGTATTTTTATATTTCTGATATTAATGTTCCAAATTAATATTAATAGAGTGATTCGATAATTTTGCAACGCTGGCAGTACTTCCAAAGTCGATCAAATGTTCTGTGAGCATTTTGATCTGGTGTTACGTGATATTTGAATAGAGATAGGGTCCTTGAAAAGTATTTTTTTACTGACATAGTAAATACGATAATATACGATATTGTAAATCAAGCTTCGTTTTTCAAAAACGAATTTTCCAATCTTAGCATTCTTGTTATGAATACAATTGATGCGACTAGTCGACGAAAAACTAAACGTCGATCGTCTAACGATCCAATGATGTATAGTTCGACGAGTTAGAAACGATCCTTGAGGGGCGTGGCCAAGCGCGATGAGGCGGATCCATCGTTGTCTCGCAATAACGATCTTTTCTCAACTATCGAGCTATAGCTTTTAAGGTAATTTTTCTATCCGACGATTAAAAGTTTCCTTTGCATAAATGTGATTGCATGTTAGATCACGGTCTAAAGAAAAAAATGAGTTTTATTTATTGTTGTTAACTTTATAATACCTTTAATTCTGATATATTCTGTCGCTTTTCGACTTCGAGTTATTTTTAAATTATGAAGTTATTATATTTTGAAACACTGGGCAGGTTTTACTTGCCGGTGTATCGTTTATGTTACATTTAAAGAATTTAATTTTTCTTTACAATTTTACATAGAAAATGTTTATTTTTTTGTTGCTCACATTGCGTTACTAAAAATTCAACCTTTGATTCTTTGTTATTACTGTAAGGATCACGCGTTTGAAAAATGGAGTTATTTTTAAAATACGTGAGAGATTAGATACTAGTCATACGTGGAAAAATGTAGTAGCATAAATTTGTTTACATTTATCAATATATGATCTCTACTATTTGGAAAATGTAGTAGGTTTTGATACTCTGATTCAAAATGAACTATACCGTTCGAAGAATCGAAAATATGAAAAAGAAAAAAAATCGAATAAAGGAAAGGAGAATTTACAAAAGTAAGACAAGAAATGTATGGCATTAATCTTGTATTTTTAATGCCAATTATGATTTCTTACTTTGCAATTTGACTCGAAACAACCTGAATTAAGTTATCGTTCGCAGAGTAAATTTCGTTCAAAGGGAAACATCTTGCCAGAATAATTTCTAACTGAAAGATGTAATTGTTTCTGTACAAAAACTCTTCGGTTCCGTTTCAATCTCGTGATGGACGCACGTAAGAAAACAATTTTCGTGCGAGTTTCAGAAATCGTTGTTGAAATTGCCAATTATTTGGCGAGCTTAATTGAAATTTAACGCCGTAGCGAGCGACGACTATCTGTCACAAGGCAACAGAGCTGTCTCGTCTTGCTATTTTCGTGCGTAAATTCATCACCATTGCCCGAAGATGCAAAATTCAACAAATCCGTTTTAATCCATTTTAATATAAGTTAGTACTTTAATGTTTATCGTTAAATATTCAAATAGATTACGTCTAAACACTTCTAACAAGACTGTTCATTTGCTTTACTACCACTCCGTCTACTCTGTTTCAAATTACAACCGTTAAAATATTTCTATTCGAATGGTGTCACTCAGAATCCCTAAAATTACTGTTTGGAAATAAATTTAAAACGGATTTGTGCATTTTTGAGTCCATTCCGAACGGCAGTGCGCAAGCTTTATATTTTACTATCATTATTACTGTTCAGAGCTGAAGAGATCCGTCCTAAGAAGTATCATAAGGTAAAAGAAATGCTTCTCTATTCCACTTATGGACTGCGTTTTCTTATGTTAAGTCATGCATAATTACAACTATTAAATTAATTATGTACCACTGGGAGCGTAAATGTTCTGCTCTAGAGGAAATGTTTGAAGTTTATAACTTATTAGAGCCCATACTCTTAGCAGCCATTGTTTAGAGATCTTATAATCAAACTATTGGCGCCTCAAGTAATCCATCATTTTGTTCCCAAGTGCCCCAGAGAGACAGCGACAACTATAATTTTCTTTATGTAAAGTCACTAGATACGACAACGGTGGCGCCACCTTTGTACTAGGGACACAAAATGACAGATCGTTTGAAGCACCAGTGACTAGACTCTGTTTGTGTAAGGTCCCTAGGCTCGCTTAAACGTCTGCGTTACGAAGGCGTGGCCAATAGTCCGACCAATAGAACCCCATTCTCCTTCCAAAACAGATCTCTTGAGCTTCCAACAGTACATTTGTACGATTCTTAATGTACTCGTTTTTCTCGTTTCCACGCGTGCCAATAATTCGTGCAAAAAAACGTGTCTTTTGAACGGGCCTTTTAAACGTCGTTAGAATTAGAGTGATACTACTCTGTGTGAATATGTGAGTGCGTGAGTGTATGTGGAACTAAGTACGGATTTCGTACCAGGACGGGTGTGAATCTTCGCTTCTTTTTATTACGAAAAGTGTACTGAGTTGACAAACAAGTGAAGTTGGTACTGTAAGGAAAAAGGACGAAACGAAGAAGTTCGTCTGAGAATGAACAGAATCGATGAATTCAGAAAAAAAAATGGAAATTAAGAGGTATAGTGCGAAGAAACCGTAAATATTTAAATAATGAGAGGATCGTTATACTAATTGCATGTGTTCAGTTTCAGGAGCTATTTTCTTGAATTTTTTATGCACTTTGCTGTGCAAGTAAATATCGGTGCCTCGAATGCGCACATCCTTTTTCCTCCTTCATCTCGTTTAGAACGACCGTTCAGGATGTTTCAGGAAGAAGATTCACTGTAGTGAATTTCGACCTTTCCGTAGTCATTCGGTTGGCTGCATGGATTTTTAGTAAAACGCGTTTAGCGGAATTGTATACATAAGTTGATATAATCTATCATTATATCCGGAATAATTATTGCGAGCCACTAATTTATAGGATGCATTGAATTTATTCTTCAGTGGACGAACGTAAACACGAAACGTTGTTATTATATTATTTAATGGAAACTATATGATTTTTTTTTCTTGTTTTCTCGTGAACACGCAAAAGTCGCGTATAAATAATTAATCGAGAGGGATTAATAAAGGTTTATTTTATATGAAATGCCGAGAATATTTTAATTGGAACACGTAGCGCCGCGTTCAGCGTCGCCAATTTGCAACGACACACTAAATTCGTCTTTTAGACTTCCCTGTGGCAGAAAATTATTAATTTCACAATTTTATAAATTCTTTCGTGAGTTTGAGCATTTCGGTTGCAACCTTCTTATCGAATGGATTTGAATTTAAAGAACAAAGAAAATAATTCATAAGAAGAAACATGAAGAGCAAATATAAATGTTTAAATATTATTTCAGGGAATAATATAATGTTGGCCACGGATAATGTTTGTGAAATTAAAAAACGATCATGGTAATGTCTTAAATGAAAATATCTATAACTATATGAAAGGCAAGATGCAGTCTACAAATTATAGAATGTTTCACTCGTCAATAATTCACTAAAGAGGCACAAATACTTTTAAAAACTTTTTCAAAAAAAAAATCAAACAAATTTATCGACTCTTTCGAGGATTTGGGTATTTTTAAAATAGTTTTAAAATGCATCGCAATTAACGATGAAAGATAAAAGCCGATCATTTCACTGATGAAACTTAAAATTTTTATATTTATCATTACATCCTTGAGAAGTATTATTAATGGATTAGCAAGGTTATCCCAATTAAAATAAATAGAAATACGGCCTCGTTGAAATTATTTTTAATTATACGCAATAGAAGTTTTGCAAAAATAATATTCAGGTAACCGAAAAACACTTTATATGTTGTATAACATTTGATACCCGAATTATTTTCGAAACTGTTTCAAGTAAAAATTGTCCCAATTAATGAGAACTTCCTTCGAGAAACATAAAAATTAAAAATTAAAATTAATAAAAATATAATGATCGTAAATCTTTCTTTCTGCATAGTTTGTGAAACATCTTGCAGAAAATTATATGATCTGAATTTTACATGTGTCGATCAGAATTTATCGTGGCGCTGCAAGCGTTCTTACAAATTATTTATCGAATTATAGAAATGAAATGTTGTTTGAATAGATATTTATTCTACGACGATATGAGTTCATTGTGGTACAATGTATGATTATTTATTTGAAAGGGAAAGACGAATGTGAGTGTACTTACATAGTACAGGTTTTAGTGGCTGCAGCGAGCGCACTCGTGCAATGTCCTGCCAATGCAATTAATATTCAAGTATTATACACATATACATATATTTAGGAAATATTTAACGGCGTATCAAAGAATCTCGATCAAGAATCGCATAGATTAATGTTAGTATAATTATGCTGTGGAAGTCTTGTCGTTCGTGCACGGCTGAGTTAAAAAAAAAAAGGAAATTATGCTAAAAAATGGGCACTCGAACACACAAGTTTTTTTTCTATTTATTTTACTCGTTAATTGAATTTGATATGTTAGTGAAAAGTTTCATTTAAATTTCTCTCAAAAATTTCTCATCAGTTTTAAGCGAAACATTCAATTATTATTTGTTTATTGATTTAAAGATTGAGCTGCAAAACGACAAAACTTTTACACCAGTTCGACGTAGGAAAAATAAATAATCACACAATAAATTGTAAAGCTTGAGAAGTTAGAGATAGAACGACTTTCTTGTCGCTGGTTTGTTCGAGTTGGAATAAAGACGTTGTTTGCGATTGAGAATAGTGAGCGCAAGAATTATTCAAAAATTTCTTGATTGATCAGCAATCAATGAAGAATTAAATTAGAATTTTTTAACAGTCAGTTTATAAAATACTTTATTGCATATCTGAATTTAATTTTGTGGAAAATGAAGAAATAAAAATTTTCTCTCCCGTATTTTTCGATTCTGATTCACAGCGTGAAATTACAATTAAAAGAACGTGTTTCGAGAAATTGGAAAATAGCAAAATATTCGCTATTTTTAATCGCGTATACAATGTTTATTCGCCTCGATTGATTCGCAAGCATAGCTGCCGCGCGTCACATTATTAAAAAAATATATATTTTATCATCGCTAAATATTAACGATTAAGGTGAAATTATTCTGATCGGAGTAATTGCAATCCATTTATTTTTTAGATAACGTGGCTCAATTGTTGGGCGTAATGCTCTCTCATAAACGGTTAAATATCTGTAAATTCCATGCTTCGATGCTTTGACGGATAAAATCTCGGTCAGGTTTTGCGAATATAAAATACAGCATAACGGTGTATTCACCGCGCACGTGTTCGAAAGTTTTGTGATTACTTTTCCGCGATCGTATTTTTGCCTTGTTCGCCCTAGGAACCTCGATTAATCCGCCGATGGATCGAGGAAATGATAATCGAGCATACGCTTTGTACGTTTCGCTAGAAGTAGTAATGAATCGAAGCTGCAATCAATAAATTTCGACGAGACAATTTTGTAATTTATTATT